TAATGCTAACTTTCTTATCTGATTTAGCATAGGGTACACTGGACCAGGCTTTATCAAAGAAAAGGACATACTGTAACAGTGTCTCACGGCTGCAAAATATTAAACATTGCACGGTTTGATTGAACATGCATCCATTAAAAACAATTTTCGCAGAAGGTATGATTCTATTCTAGACATTTTGCTTACTTAAAAGTATTGAGTTTGTCACTGTGTCCTATTTTCTGTGTAGAGACAAAATGAAGACGTTCTCTTGTCTCTGTCTCTGTCAGGTGTGTCTCACTGAGTGCGAAGCCAACGTCTCCCCGGCTTTCTCCTGGGACTTCTGTCGTAAAGTGCTTTCATCGCCTATTTCCTCTCTCACCGGTATCATACGGAAAAGATCTCAGGAGGAGGCGGAGGCCCTGTTTCCAGAGGAGGATGAACAGGAGGAGCAGGTGGCTGGAGATCTGCTGCTGCCCTTTGCCTTGCAGAGTTACGATCATGTGACAAGAGCGCTCGAGATGGACGAGAGGGATCTGGGGGGAAATGACGGTCCTCTGAACACAGCCTTCAATTCCCAGAATGAGGATGAGTATGAAGAGGAAGCGGGACAAGAAGAAGGAGCTGCTGCCTCAAGAGGACAAGGCGACGTAGGGCTGAGTGTCTCCAAGAGGTTCGGAGGATTCGTCAAAGGGAGACACGGCTACAAGAAGCTGATGTCTCCGGGAAGATCGTACCAGAAGAGGTATGGCGGCTTCATCGGCATTCGCAAGTCAGCGCGCAAGTGGAACAACCAAAAACGTTTCAGTGAGTTCCTGAAGCAGTATCTGGAGATGAGCTCTAAGGCCACCGAGTACAACAGCATGTCAGAGGACCTCACCCAACATAACGAAGTTTAGCACCTTCACGCCCCTGACATTTAACTATTTCCTGATGTCTTTGCAACGTATCTTCATACAATGGTTTGTATGTTTATACAAGAAAAGTTATTCCTTATTTTTTTGTCCGTTCTCCTACGAATGTCCAGCAACACGTGTCAATTTCCACTCATTACAGGTATTTCAGAGGAAACATGGTTTGCTTTAGGCCTCATAAGTTCTGGTTTTAGTTTAAGAAAAGGTGACATTTGGGATAAAGCAACTACCGAATAGGCAAAGTTACGGGACAAATAAGTCATTGTTTGGGTTGAAATTAATTACGGCGTGGTTGAAACTAAAGTACGGAAGTAACAATCAATGTTTGGGTCACAATAGACATAAACATAGGTGGAATACATCCAAATTGATTTCATGAATATTAACATAACATATCACTTTTTACTTTACACGTTTACACCACTGACATTAAACTATTTCCTTGTGTCTCGGTGTCAATTAACGTTCAGTTAAGTCTTTTTAAACAAAGGAAAAAACTTGGTTTGGTTCAGGCTACAACATTTCTTGGTTAGGTTTAGGAAAATCGTCAGGTTTACCAAATTTGCAAAGTTACGTCACTGTTTCTATTAAATATTCCTGGTTCAGAATTGGTGGAATACATATAAATTGATTTCATGGGTATTACAGCTGAACTCCTTACGCCACTCACATGAAACCCTTTCCTGATGTCTTTCCAACGTATCCCCCTAAAACAGTTTTATGTATGTGTATACTACGAATGTCCAGCAACACGTGTCAATTTACCACTCGTTACAGTTTAGACCACAAAAGTACTTGTTTACTTTTATGAAAGTGTGAAGGTTAGGGTAAAAATGTGCAGAATTGGCCAAGTTACGTGACAAATAAGTCAACAATAATTGCAGAAGTGTCACTACTAAAGTACAGAAGTTACTCTTGTGTCAAATCGGACACAAACCTTTTTCTTCTTGGTGAAAGTCTTGTCTCCATCCATCCGTGCCGGCCTCCTCCCTACGCAGAACTCTTGGTTTTTATACTTTCTGGCTCGTAATTAAGGTACACATTCAAATTGATTTCATGGGATATACACAAACTACATTACTTTTGGAGGTAAAGCTACAAGTAGGCTATGAGAACAGCATGTTACCTCCCTCATTCTTGTTGCGTTATTTATTTATTTTGGTGTCACCAAAGTACTAATCAGTAATTTACCAAAAAATAAGCCTAAGATTCTCATTGTATGCCTCTGAAGACGATATGATTGCCCTATTTTTTCAATACCTCATAATAAGGATGCAATCAATTAGCCTTGAATTATCAAACTATTATTATAACTCTCTAGGAGAAATGTAGAAATGTCTCCTTTCTGCACCCTGAGTCTTTGAGACCTCCCAGGTATTACCTCTAGATGTACCAGGTAAATAACCATGTTTGATTCGAATAACTACCCAAGTCCTTATACGATCAGCTTTAAAGCACTTTGGAATTTGTCCTGCAGAAGTGTGCTGTATAATACAGCATTTATTTCTTTTCAGACCCTAAAAGCCAAAGGTTTTAATATTGAGATAAAAAAAAAAAACGCAATTTAGCTCATTTTGGTTCAAGAGACAAATCACAAAGATATGTTTTCTCTCAATTAAGTTAGTCATTTTTACTTTTTCACTTGTCCCTTGCAGTGTTTTAATGTTTCCTACAAGACGTACTTTACAAAGCATAATTTGGTTGTAAAATAATTGTACATTTTCTTTTTAATTTTCGATAATTGGAAAAAATCTCCCGACAGCTTCATGTCTTTCAATCATTTTTGACAACATAATATCCGCCTCAAAGAGTGCCATCTTTCTTTAAAGTATGGGCAAGAGTTGAAAATTAAAAAGACCAATGAGTTAAAATTAGCAATTTGAAACATCTTTCTAAAATTGTTAATATATTATATTATTAACAATGAAAAAAAACGACATCCTTATGAAGAGCAGACACAATTATATTAATACATTTGACCTTTTAACTCCCACAAAATGAATTTCCCACTATTAAAAAAGACACAGTATTTTAATTAAGCTTTAATATCAAAAGTGAATTGGCGTATCTCAGGACGTTAATATCATTTTTTATAACGTTTATTTCCCAAATTCATTACTGTGCTGGGTCATCTGTACAAATTACCAACTCTTCTTACATCTTTACTACGCTACCATCTTGTGGCAAAATGCAGTCTCTTTCAAAGGACAATACCAGTGGGTTGTTTTTTCATGTTGTTGCATTTTGGTTAGGGTAATGTCGGCAGTAATGTAAAGTATAGTGTATGTGATGTGTGGTCAATAAGTGAAAACATGCAAGAACACAACTAGAAGTCACTGATTTATCACTGTGCCAAAACACCTGAAACAAGGCTACTGACGCAGGTTTAATACAAAAAATGTCTTCTTTAAAATGGAAGTTTATACTCAGCACTTTTTCTGCATTTTCTGATCTGTGTGCTAAACTGATGTTATGTACAAGTGAGCATCGTCGTTGTGTCCGGATGCCAGTGTGTACAAACTTTATATTATTTTTCTTCAAACTATAATGGTGTGAAATGTTGCCCACTATGATAACTTGTAAATAGCATTTAAAAATGTCAATAAAATAGTTTACTATTTCCTTCGTGGCTTCTTATGCAGCAACTGATTATGTGTCTTGAGGTGTTTTGTTCATATATTTTCAGTATCGGGGGTTATCTAAAAAAGGCCCCTTTATATGCTTTTTGGACATTTCCCTTTCCTGTTGTGTTGGTTTTTGTGAATCTAAAAACATTTTGCAGTAAGTTAGAGGTTGAATAAAGGTGTAAATTAACTGAAGAGCAAGAAAATACAAATGTTTCCCAATGGTAATACCATAACGTGTTCATATTAATGACATATAACTGCATCTACAAAGCAACTGTAATTATATATCAATTAAAAATCTGTTGATCTTCACACCATCCCCACCCTCTGGAAAAAATCAATTATAAAACCTGTCCCCAAAAAACCTTGTCCAAAGGTAAACAATGATTTTAGGCCTGTTGCATTGACATCCATTGTCATGAAATGTTTTGAGAGGATCATGGTGCCGCTGCTAAAGAAAGAGGTTGATGTACATTTAGACCCTTTTCAGTTTGCCTATAAGCAATGGCGTGGCACAGACGATGCTCTAAATAGCATCACACACCTGGTCACTAAACACCTGGAAGACCCTAAGGCATATGTACGCCTACTGTTTGTGGATTTCAGCTCGGCTTTTAACACACTGCAGCCTCACATCTTGCTTCAAAAACTGATAAAGATCAGTATAAATCCTTTTATCTTGAAATGGTATTTTTCGTTTTTAACCAATCGCACTCAACATGTCAGGGTCAACAATGCCCTCTCAGAGCCCCGGACCATCAGCAGGAGCTCCCCAGGGTTGTGTGAGCTTCCCGGTCCTCTTCACACTGTACACAAACGACTGTACGAGAATCCACCCGGAGAACTATATCATCAAATTCTCAGATGATACAGCCATCCTTGGCTTAATGCACAAAGGCAGCAGTTCATCGGCTTATCACTCTGAAATAGAGAGATTTGTGCAGTGGTGTGATTTTAACCATCTAGTGCTGAATGTGAAGAAGACTGAGGAGATGGTGTGGGACCCAAAGGCAGTGGGTGACCTTAGGCCGGTGGTTATCCACAATGAACCCATAACTCAGGTCAGCTCCTATAAGTACCTTGGTGTCCATCTAGATAATACACTCAGCTGGAAGGCGCATGTTCAAGGTCTGTGCTCTAGACTTCAGCAGCGGTTGTACTTTCTGCGTCAACTCCGGGCTTTCGGAGTCGACCAGAAGTTCATGTTACTGTTCTATCATGCAGTGTTGGAGAGCATCATGAGGTATGGTATCACTGCCTGGTATGGTAACTTGACAGTGCAGTCAAAGTCACAGATCGCTCGCCTGGTACAGACTGCTATGAAGATTATGGGGGTTAAAAAACACCCATCTCTCCAAAACATATACGAGCACTCGATTATCAGACAGGCAAAAAAAATGGTGTCTGATCCCACCCACATACTCCACCCAGAATTCCAGCTCCTACCTTCTGGTAGAAGATTCAGGGTTCCCAGGAGCAGGCTGAACCGCTATAAGCACTCATTCCTACCTATGTCGATTAAGCTTCTTAACATTCACATGAAATGATATGTAGTCAAATGTAATGAAATGTACTTTTTAAATGTTGGCCATGAGGGCTGTGCAATAGGTCGCCATTGTCAGTATGTGCGTCTGTGTATTGTGTTTGTTCAAACGGTGTATGACTGATGATATGTGTATGTCTCTTAATGTCCACTATGTTTGTATATGTACATGTATGCGGAACTGCAGGACGGAGTCCAGAACAAATTTCCTTACGGGGACAATAAAGTATATCGTATCGTATCGTATCGTATATATAAACCTATACAGACCTTGCCCTCTATTGCAATGTTAAACAACTGTAAACTGGTAAACTATCATATTAAATGTAAATAAGTACACACCCTATAAATGTAATTACACAATACAGATTACACACTTTATACATTATTTGTATCATAAAATAAATTATATATTACATTTCTTTTACATAAAATACACACCGAAAATACACAATTTATAAACTGAATTATTTTCTTAAAATCGCACTTTTTTAAGTGACTTGTAAAGAAAAATAGAGACAATGATGCCACTTGTGAGTATGCATGCAAAAAGATAAACACATAGAATTAAAAACTACTGGCAGATAAAGATAGTCCTCTGATAACAGGAGGAGATATATTAACATTTTAAAATGAAATCCCCCTGTGCTCCAGCTGGCTTCTGGCGCCCCTCAGTGGTCCTCCTGTGCACAGCTGCACATTGCATATTGCATACCAAAGGTCAGAGGTTTTTAAAGCCCTGAAAGAGACCCCTCACCCGTCCTTAGCTTAGTTTCGTTCAATTTCTAGAGGCATATATAATTAATATGTTGTTGTTTGATCATATAGACACCCAACAATTGAGCATAGCAGTTTGTTCATACTTCCTTGATGCATCAAATACATAAAAAGTTCTGTCATGCATTTATTATATTTATCTCCTTAGGAAACACTTGAAAATTCCCCCAAATGACTGCATCTCTGAATTATATTTTTTCAGCCAATCCTGCACATTAAGGCTATTCTGTGTGATCTTGATGACTCATGTAATATTTAATTGTTCACTCACTGTTCCTCCGTTAGGGAAACGTTAGTACAAGTTTACCAACCTGCAATACTCTGTTACAAGCTGAAGACATTGATTGAGTTCTCATTATGCAGAATGTCTAATTTCAGAATAGTGTTGAATCATTGATGGTGCATGGCAACAGTTAGCACAGTTGCCTCACAGTAAGAGGACATTTTATGAGGGGTGTCTGCATGCAAATAAAAAGATTAAAAGAAAAAGGAAGTACAAGGCACCACAAAAACGTGAGTAAATGTGGGTCTACGTGATGTTGCAAAGATCGATGTATAAAGAGACCTAACTTAAGTAACACATGGCTATACCTCAATACAAAAATACAGACTTTATTCAATACATTAAGTAAAAGTATGCAAGTTTAATGAAGAAATTGTAGGCCTACTTAAAGTATTTACGTTACTTTTTATGCAGCCATAACGATAGGCCTACTTGTTTTTGGTTTAAGATAAATGTTTATACCCTTATATGGTCGTTATGGGTTTTTAAATATTCATCTGCAAGGTTACTAGTAATTACAGTCATGCAATAACAATATAGTGGAAAGAAAAACAAGTAATTAATTAACTTAGTTACTTTCTCTCACTGACTGTAAGCTACAGTATAAGAGAATACATTATGTTAAGCTTTCATGAGCTGAATTTATTGTCTCCAGTTAAGAAATCCCTCTAATTGTAATGAGGCCAGTCAATACAAAACACTCTTTAATAATGACATACAACTGCAACGCAAAAAAACACTTGTGGGCAGAATTGTTTTATCTTGAAAGGTTGGACCGGAAGTAGCAGTTGACATTGGTACTAACTGCAGTACCATAACAAGACTTTCTGTCTAATTACAGTTATTATTGACTTCTGTGTTAAGAATACGTCTGGATTTGTCTGATTCGGTGAGTTTTATGTCATAGTTATAAAGAAAAGGAATCGCGGGGGGAGAATGTTTTCTCAACTGTTTACGTTTAGCTACTTGGGTAAATAATCAACTGTAGCTTCTCGTTAGCATAAGCTATGCTAGCGACCACTCTTAAACATCCATGGTAACACTAACGCTGACTTTAACCATATGAGCTTAACAAATACACATAATGTCACTAAAGTTTAACCTAACTTTAGGAATGACAAGTTCAGCGTATGCGCTTTACCTTAAATATACAGTTGCAGGATAATTGACAGGGCTAAAGCTAGCTTTGCTGCTAAAGGGAAATATTATATGTAGAGCTAACTTGAGTCTGTAATATAATTCTGACACCTGAAGGACTGTTGTTGAGTTAACCTTGCTGGCTTTACAGGCCCCATGTGTGTTGAAATTGCGTATTTAATGTCTGCGTTAGTTGAGCTAACCTGAAAATAGCAACGTTATATATTCGTTACGTTAGTTTGCAAACAACTACACAATAAATAAGGATAGCACTGACTGATATGTTCATGTAACCTTGTATAAACACCACAGTGACGCAGTGGTGGACAGTAACGAAGTACTTTTAACTCAAGAAGTGTACCTATGTACTTTTGAGTATTTCCATTTAAAGCTACTTTATACTTCTATATTTCAGAGGCAAATATTGTACTTTTACTCCACTACATGCATTTGACACTCTCAGTAACTAGTTCGTTTTGACATATAAAAACACATTATATGGTGATATAGTATAATGCACATAGTATTTCAAGTATCTACATTTGGTCAACATTGGCAAACTGCAATACTAAAATGCTCTGGATAATATAATAACCATAATAATGTAACACTGTGAAGAGATCCATTCTGCATGATGAGTACTTTTACTTTTTGTACTTGAAGTACATCTTTAAGCTTATACTTTTGTACTTTTACTTAAGTCAAAATCAGGAAATCATGACTTTTACTTTTAAGTAGTATCTTAAGACCATAGTATTTTTTACCTTTACTTAAGTGAAGGATCTGAGTACTTCTTCCACCTCTGACCACCACACATATAACAACACACACTATAACACCTCTGTGCGCTTACTTATGCGCAATATATATATATTTACCACTTGAAAATTATTATTATTACTGGCTGGTATTTCTTAGTTAGACAATTCAACTACTGTAATACATATGTTAATAACTTGTACTACTGTTACCTGGCTGCTACCATACCACATTATACATACTGTTACTGGTACTTTTTCTTGTCATCCTGGATGTGTATTTTTGTAAATTCAATTTTGACCATTAATATTATATGCATGCCTTTTTAATATTTTGCTATTTTTGGCTCTTTACTTTTGCTATGAATAACAATGTACATTTCCCCTCTGTGGGACGAATAAATGTAGTCTGATTCTGATTCTGAAGATAGCACTAACTAATTTGTTGATGTGACGTTTGTTGTGTTGACATTGAATAATTGAATGCTTTACAAGTATGTGTGTCTGTGTGTGTTTGTGTTTGCAGACGGCACAGCGATGTGCAGCTGTGTGCGGAGCTCCAGGGCTCTGTCCCCTGTGCTGCGCCCCGCTCGGCTGCTCCCTCAGACGGGCTACAGGCTGGCCGGCCGGGGCCTCTGGACCTCCCCGCCCTGCCTGGCTGTGGGGGGGGACTCCACGCTGCTGCCGCTGCCCAGCCAGGCCCGGGTGGTGATCTGTGGGGGCGGGATCGTGGGCTCGTCTGTAGCCTTCCACCTGGCCAAACTGGGCTGGACTGATATCGTGCTGCTGGAGCAGGGCAGGTGAGATTACTGGGATTTATCTGAAGAAGATAGAAAATGGATCTTTATTGTTTTCAATCAGTTTTCCACAATGTTTTTCTATACATGCACATGCTTCTTATAATAATAATAAGAGCTGCACAATCAATCGATTTGTGGATGACAGAAAAAATTATTGCAAACTATTTTGTTGATTGGGTATTATTCTTCTAATGCTGTAGGCCTACTGTCTGTGCTGTTAATATGCAATATATATATGCCGTTAACAACTGTGCAATATATACCTGGCTGCTATATCTTCAAAACTGTTACAAATATGTATTATGCAAATTGTGTAATTTTTTTTACATTTTTGTTTCTTTAATATTTTTTTATGCATGCTTCTTAGTTAATATTAAGCTGTTTGTTGCTCTTTTCTGTTCAAACAAATCTAAATGTCCCCTCTGTGGGAGAAATAAAGGTATTCTGATTCTGATATGTTATCAGACTCGGTGCAGGAACAACCCGACTGTGTGCCGGCATTGTCAGCGTGGCCAAGCCTATTTCCATCGAGTGTCAAATGGCAAACTACTCCAATGGTCTCTACAAGGGGCTGGAGGAGGAGACCGGGGTCAAAACAGGTCGGAACCTTTCACATGTGTTAACTTTGGCTCATATTTGACTCATTACTTATTCATGAAGATCAGGGTTCACTATAAGAGTACAATTATTATCCTTTCCCAAATAACCCCCTGTTAGAAGAATCTCACTGCTCACCGGCTTGAGCTTCAATAACAGGATCCATGTATTTATGATCCTCTCAAGAATGGAAGTAGTCATCACATACAGAGCATTTGGTACAACTAGTTCCTGAACAGTGTCCTTCACATGCTGATATACAAGAGAGGGAGTTACACAGTCACAAGATGGAGGAATACAAAGCAGTATTCAATGTTTACTTCAGATTAGCTCTGTGGGGGAAACTTCTGTAGCAATGGAGAGTCAGGACTCAAAGAGACACGAGGAGAGCTGGAGCTTTGATGGCAAACACTGATGGTTTATTTGGAGTTACGGCCGGAGAGTTGACAAGACAGGTGGTGTGTCACGAGTTGACACAGCGGTTGCCAAACCAATTCTGAAGAACTCTTTCTGTAGCTCGAGGTTTTAACTAGTTCGGAGTGTAATAATCAACATTCTTCATCAGCGAGACTAAACTATTATGGACCCTGAATCTAACTAGAGCTCTCGTCCATAGAAAATAATGTGCGGCAGGGAACCTTCGTCCCTGAACAGTAAACTACCTCATGGCGGCTTGTGCTCGGTCATAGACTGGCAACAACAATGCGCCCAAGCTGCTCCTCCTTAAGAGAGATAGCAGCAATACCCAAGGCCGTAGACCTATGCCATGGGAAAGGAGACAGTGAGAAGAGAAAATGATCAACTGTGTCAAAGGTTGAATACCTAAGCAAATTATTCCCGAACAAGCTCCACGTCAGAATTGATCATGCTTGTCATATGTCTCTCCATAGAGGCTGAATCATCATGTTAATCACATAGCTATCATAATACCTAAAACAGTCCTGATGCTCTTCTAGGTAATCATACATCCTGTCATGTACACAGCTACAGTTGGGATACCTTTGTTATCTTGTGTACTCTCATATTGGAAGACTACATTCAGTATTTTCCCAACACCCCCATTTGGGAACCCCTGCTCTAGGGGATATAGAGGTGTGAAGTGAATCCTGCTTTTCAGTCAATGGAGGAAACACTGCAAACCCACAGCTTCATTTGCAAACATTTGCATTAGGCGTTCACCATTTCTTTGAGACATTGTGTGATGTGACTTTCCAAAACACTTTCTGTATATGTAGGGCTTGAATGCTAGAATGACACTTTTAAGTTTCCCTTAAGTTCATTTTAGCGTTTCTCTCTTTGAGTAGATTATTGAAGTGGGTATTTAAGTTTGATACCTACTGAATCAAGTAATATGTGGTTTGGTTTTTGTTGTTGTGTGTTTCAGGTTATGTGAAGACAGGCTCTCTGTGTCTGGCCCAAAATCAGGACCGCTTCCTCTCTCTGAAGCGCCTGGCATCCCGACTAAAGTAAGCACCCTAAAACCTCAATATTTACTGAAGATACTTTTGGCAGTGTCTACTTCCTGTGGATGAGGCAGCTTTGCATTCTAAATATACTGCTCAAGCTCTGTGTAACTGCACAAGGACATTTTAGTCAGCACCAATTTGAACTGTTGACGCAAATTATGTTTTTTCAGAGAGAGAGACTCAGAAATGAAAGGGGAAGACATGAGATGAATGATCCCAGGCTGGATTCGGTTTATTGGCCGCCAGCTCTACAAAATGAGCATAGCTCCCCAAACATTGTTGTATTGACTAAGCCTTAGCTTAGCCTTAACCACCACTAGGCAAAAAGGTCAGAATCAAATCCTTAGTCACTAAGGATTTGATTCTGACCTCATTGCCTAGTGGTGGTTTAATCCTGCAATCTTACGTTTCATTCTTTTACTGGACAAATGTATTGCTGGTAGAAAATGACCTCTACTCAATGAGCTGAATGTATTTGTCTTAACATCAAAGGTAAAATGATAGCAGCTTTCAGTCTTTTGGATGCTATTTGATATGCTGAGCTTACACTGTCCACATCTCCGATTTGGAACCAGGTTGGATATGCAGAGCCTTTTAAAGTATTAAGTGTTCATATTTCCGTTCTCCCTCTATTCTCAGGGTCATGGGGATCAGCTGTAACGTCATAAAGCCTAAAGAGGTGGCTAAACTCCACCCTCATGTCAACATTCATGACCTGGTGGGGGCGCTGCACCTGCCTGGAGACGCTGTGGTTTCTCCGCCTGACATCAACCACGCCCTGGCTGTAGCTGCTGCTGGACACGGTGAGAGAATTACTTATGAGAGTAATACAGAAAGTGTTTTACAAGCATATTTTACATGTAAACACCACTGTATATATTGTTATATACATGTTGCATAATGTTATACAACGTGCACATGTTTACTTTAACTTGTTATGTTTCTATAAATGTGTTTTCTATTTATTCTTTTATTGGACATTTTACTTTACTATTATTGTTTTAATTTATTTTAATTTAATTATATTATTAATAATATAATAATGACCGAAAGAACAAGATCGGATACAAGCGGCCGAGATGGGTTTTCTCCGCAGGGTGGCTGGCGTCTCCCTTAGGGGTAAGGTGAGAAGTTCAGTCATCCGGGAGGGACTCGGAGTTGAACCGCTCCTCCTTCGCGTCGGAAGGAGCCAGTTGAGGTGGTTCAGGGACCTAGTAAGGATGCCACCTGGGCGCCTCTCTAGAGAGGTGTTCCAGGCAAGTCCAGCTGGGAGGAGACCGAGGGGTATACCTCCTGTTGTCTCCTCTCCTTGATGTCTTTCTGTTTGCTCCGCAGGGGTCCAGATCCTGGAACGGACCACCGTGCAGCAGGTTCTGGTGGAGAAGGGTCAGGTGACGGCGGTGGAGACGGATCGGGGCTCCATCGAGTGTGAATTCTTTGTCAACTGTGCAGGACAGGTACAAAATAAAAACGTGGGAGCATTAGTCCCAGTGCAAAGGGACATAAGGGAATTAATGGGGGACAACTTTTGAAGGCATTAAGGAAGTTCCTTTCTGGATGCCTCAATCCCACATAAATCTTGCCAGGGCTTTAAGGGGTTTATTTTGATCAAGTAGTCTAATCATTAGGGTTAGGGGTTAGGGTAATTTTTGTCCATTAGTCGATTACTCTATTGTTTTACTTCCCTATAGTAAATAGGAAAAGCTGGGATGCCTTTGCTTCGTGTGTTTGCGCATAGCAGTTTTTATCGAAGGCCATTTCCAATTGTTGGTTCTCCATTAAAGGTGGGGTAGGTAATTTTGGAGGAACCAGCTCGAGATCGCTAGAATTTGAAAATACACAGCCGGAACAAATTTGCCACTTCCTTACAGAGCCCCTCCTCCAACACACACGAACGCGCACATGACCAATGAGGGCACGAGATAAGTTTGTGCACAGATGGAAGGCTGACAGGCAGGTAGGCCATCCAGTTATTTTAGCCGGGCCGGCTCAGATGATTGGTCGTGCTTTTTACAGTACCACGGCTTCCACAGATGACATTTTTTAATGGATTTTTTGTCAAAGCACTTAAGATATTCATTGCTATCGGGATGTTAAGAGCATTCCATGGAATATAACAAAAAGTGTATCTCGAGCCGGTTTCTCAAACTTACCTACCCTACCTTTAATATAAAAAAATGTTAGAATTTTGTAAGTAAAGTTGATTTAGCTGCAGCTTGTTTTCTGTTGAATTTGCTTTGACCAACAAAGCCATCGTACATGAAGCAACACGCCACCACCTGTTGGGCAAATAGACTTATTTTAGACGTTATTGAATTTCCCCAGTCCTGCGTTCTGTTCTGATTCTCACCTGCGTTATTCTCATTATAACTATACCAGTAAATCAACTTACAGGGCAGATTGCAGTGTCTAAAATATGAGGCATAATGCACCTGTGTTCAGAGCAGTTTAAAGATATATTTGTTGTGTGTGTTTGGCTGCAGTGGGCGTACGAGCTGGGTCAGGCGAGTGAGATGAAGGTTTCGATTCCTCTTCATGGCTGTGAACAATTCTACCTCCTCACCAAACCTCTGCAGGACCCTCTCCCCCCTGACACACCAGGTCTGAACACTCAAACTCACACTTAAATGAACTTTTCAGGCACATTTGCTATGGGATTTTCAATTCCAATCACTGTTTTGCTAAATAAATAGTTTTTCTTTTGACAAATTGACTGATGGAGTTACCCATTGCAGATTATAACATCTCCCAGCTTCCTTGTTATCTCTTTAAGACTTAACACTTAGTGAAACAAGGTGAATTTGTGTGTTATGATAGTTTAAACAACACGTATTTGAATCTCCAGAATACATTTGAAATGTCCAGAATAAGGTCAAACTTTGACTACAAGTGCTCGGCATAAGAATACATCAGAGGACTTTTTTGTTTCTGCATTTCATTAATAAAGTGTAAATGTTGAAGATAAAGAATGGATAGTAGAACATAAATCACTTATAATGAAAGTTAAGTAACATTTTCATCATCTTCCTTTTTCTTTTCCTTTTATGACAGATCCTAATTCTCTTTTGTAGATTGATAATATACCCTGAACATGGAAAACGGATATTATTTCCCGATAACGTACATGTATCTGCATGCTTTTGGCCGTTGCATTTCAAACCTTTATTTAACCAGATTGGTCCCATTGAGATCATATATCTCTTTTTCAAGGGAGACCTGCAGCAAATAGGTTCCACATGAAACATAAAACAATAAAGGACATCATACATTATATTTACAGGTTACATTTACATAGTTATCGACATTTACAAGTGCCCATAGTATCAACGAGCATTTCATTTAGCCTAGCTTTAAAAACATGCAGAGGAATGAGATTGCTCAGTTTAAATTCTTGCTGAAGATTGTTCCAAGCAAGTGGAGCTGCGCACATAAAAGCTGTCTTACCTAAGACAGTCCTTGCTCTTGGCACATCTAACAAGACTACATCATGCGATCTCAGACAATAGCTGCTTGCAATTCTCTGTGTTATCAGAGAGCAGATATAATACGGGAGTTTACCCAACAAAGCTTTATAAATGAACATGTACCAATGACTGAGCCTCCGTACAGTAAGTGATGGCAAACCTGCCTTGGCATACAGGGTACAGTGATGTGTGAGTGCTTTACAATTTGTGACAAATCTCAGTGCGCTGTGATAGGCGGCATCTAACTTGTTCAGGCAATAACAACATTTGTGTGTTATGACTACATTTGAAATGTCAAGAACAAGGTCCAACTTTGACTGTTAGTGCTAGGCATTAGCATAAATCAGAGATCGATCAGAGGTTGATAATATACCCTGTGAAGTACATTTATCTGCATGCTTTTGGCCGTTGCATGAGATTAAAAGCCCTGTTTCTTGTCTCCAGTGCTGATGGATATGGACGGACGGATCTATGTGCGGCCCTGGCAGGGCGGCGTTCTGTCGGGGGGCTTTGAGAAAAACCCCAAACCCATTTTCACCGAGGGCCGAAACCAGCTGGAGATCCAGAACATGCAGGAGGACTGGGACCACTTCGGTAATTTAACGAGATGAAGTAATGAAGAGAGGAAGACATGTGATGTAATCCAGTGTTTCCCACAGAATTTGATTCTATTTGTGGGGGCAAGAAAAGAAAAGAAAAGCCAAAGGCCCCTTAACCTATTCGGGTGGCCCACGCATCCACCCCCCCCCCCCCCCCTCAAATAAGAAAATACATGCGAGTTCATGGCTACTGTAGGCAATGTTCTTGTTGATCTGTGATGCGTTGGTAATGAGTGAGACACACCGGAGTTGAGGATCTGTGGGGTTTATTCTCCCAAAAATATAATTTACAATTTAGGCATTTAGCAGACACCTTATTCCAAAGCGATTTACAATGACCAATTACAGGGACGTTCTCCCTGGAGTAACTGAGGGCTAAGTGCCTTACTCAAGGGCACACTAGTAGTTCAAGGCAGGATTTGAACTCGCAACCTTTCGATCATCAGCCCACCTCACTATCCATTAGACCAGTGGTTCCCAACCTGGGGGGCGCCAGGCCTCAGATGATTTGAGGCCAAATATCATATTTAGACTTTTTTTTTTTTTTTTTTTTTTTACATATAATTGTAACGCAATACATGATTGTCACTAAAAGCCTTGTCTCTACATTACAATAACATATACAAAATAATTGATTAATTAATTTGAATAAAAATTCAAGTTAGTAGCTATTATAGGCATAAAAAGACAGAAATGTATAATTCTTTCTTTAATAGAAATGTTTCTTCTGCCCGTAAAGTGTCCAAACCAGGCTTTTCTGGATAAGCGCATTTTTAAAACATAGTCATTGTCCATGCCGGTTTCAGATTATTTGTCACAGTTGCTCCGATCAGATCGGTCTCCTCCATTTTGTAGATTATTTACGACTTTTGAATCCACATAAACACATCGGCAAAATCCGGCTTACTTTGAGCATGTGTTTTAAACAGTTTAATCCCTTTGTGAATTGTTTCCACTTGCGCCGTCCTTTAATTTCTTCATACAGCGGGAATCCAAATGAATTAATCCTGAGTCTAATACCCATCAAAGTCACTCCAATAGTGCTCCTTGATTACGCTTTCATCCTCCTTTAACAAAATACTTCACATTCATCCAGTTTGTGACAGTAGTTGTAGCATTTTTGAGACTTTTAAATTGTAATTACCGCTGTTGCGTCAATCAATCAATGACTATGCTTTGGTGTATTGTTGCGCTATACAAACATAGTGAGAGAAGATTACATTAAAATCAAATAACATTAATATAGAATAGTAGATCATTACATTTTAAAATATGAAATAATACTATACAAAATAGGAAAACTAGTCTCGTGCAAACAAGTTGAGTTAAGAAAAACCTGTCTTGGTCAGTTCTGTGGTCTTGGAAGAGTTTTAGTCATGCTGTTAATCTTGTTAGCAATGTCAGTTCAAAATACATCTCACATAAGTAAACACACACACACACACACACACACACACACACACACACCTGTCTTTTGGCCTTGACTCAGTAATCTGAGATTCCTCGTGCAGCTTGACGTTGTGTCGTAAAGAAAGCCGTATATCACCAGACGGTCCTGAAGTTGAGCACAGAGTAAAGTAATCACTGAGCACTCTAAAGTTATTAATAATCACTCAAACCTCTGTGTCAGCTCGCATGTTGGAAAACCTGCTGGATTGTTTTTACCACAACATGGAAAAATGGGGCAGTTCTGTTACAAAGAGATAACCCACAACCCCTCTGTAAAAACCTGACAACATGAATCAAGAATTATAAATCTGGCTTTATCCAATTTTCACATTTCTCTCTGAATTCGGACATTCATAAGTTCATAAGAGAGTGCCTCTATAGTTGCATATTCAAACAAAACTTGTACAGTATTACAAAAATGTACTTGGGAAATGTTTTGTCTTTTATTTAAATGTCTTCTTTCAGACTTATGGAAATAAGAAAAACATCTAAAATACACATTTTTTTAAATTATTTTTTAACTAACTCTGTTTATGTTTATCTGCAATTTAATTTGACCAAAAATGACCATTAGATAATGCTTACATTTCACATTTAAACATCAAATGTCACAAAATATACAACAAGTATATGCCTTCATATGAGAAACCAATGGGACAGAGGGTATTATAAAATCTTACAGACAAAATATTGTGTTCTCCCTCTAAAATATAGTAACATTAAATATAGTTAAATGAAATACAATAAAATATAGGACCCAGGAGGAGCTTTTTTTATCTCTTCTTTCAGACTTGTGGAAATAAAAAAACATCTAAAATACACATTTAGATGTATTTCTTTACTAACTTTGTTCATATTTATCTGTACATTTCAAGTTTACCAAAAGTGACCATTAGATAATACCTCAATTCCACATGTAAACATAACATATCAAAACAAGTGTATTACAAAAAGTAGATAAGATAATACTTTATTTATGTGACCGTCTAAGTAACATAGACAGTCACATAATTAAGTAAATATTAACAGTATTTAGTATTGGCAGATACGTAATTGCACGTTATTATAGAACATTATTAATAATAATTAGCCTTAATGTGATAAACCAGTGGGTAAGAGATTATTATAAAACCGTCTCCTGTGTCCTCCCTGCAGAGCCGATGCTCAGTGCGTTGCTGAGGCGGATGCCGAGTCTGGAGTCGGCTGAGATCCATCAGCTGGTGAACTGCCCCGAGTCCTTCACCCCCGACATGCGCTGCCTGATGGGGGAGATGCCGGGGATCTCGGGGTACTTCGTGCTGGCCGGGATGAACTCCTCCGGACTCGCCTTCGCTGGAGGAGCTGGAAAGTAAGCAAGGGAATACGTACATTTGCTACATGTGTGAGGAGAAACCATATCAAACTCTTCAAGCTCTTCATAAAATATGTATTACTCTGAAAATAATTCAATACAATACTGCTTTATTTATAAAACATTTGAAATGCTCCAGACCAAAGTGCTGTACAGTCAAATAAACAAACAAACATACACAAAACACACAGCTCAGCTCACACACCATAAAATACAAAGTACAAGTAAAAACAATAGACAATTTAAAAGCAACAATCTACAAGATGTCAAAACGCTCAGGAGAAGAGGTGGGTTTTAAGAAGTGATTTAAAAGCAGACAGCGTGGGGGCCTGTCTGATCCTTCCACAGTGTGGGAGCCGCTACATTTCAGCCTTAGTTTAGCACTTTCATCCATCAGCTTTGCAATCTGAATGTTTCAAATGCACCATCACCAGAGGTGGGAAGTAGTGGAGTACAAATACTTCGTTACTGTACTTAAGTACATTTTTCTGGTATCAGTACTTTACTCCACTACTTATTTTTCTGACGACTTTTTACTTTGACTTCTTACATTTTGAACACAAATACCTGTACTTTCTACTTCTTACATGTTGAACCCAAATACCTGTACTTTCTACTTCTTACATGTTGAACACAAATACCTGTACTTTCTACTTCTTACATGTTGAACACAAATACCTGTACTTTCTACTTCTTACATGTTGAACACAAATACCTGTACTTTCTACTTCTTACATGTTGAACACAAATACCTGTACTTTCTACTTCTTACATGTTGAACCCAAATACCTGTACTTTCTACTTCTTACATGTTGAACACAAATACCTGTACTTTCTACTTCTTACATGTTGAACACAAATACCTGTACTTTCTACTTCTTACATGTTGAACACAAATACCTGTACTTTCTACTTCTTACATGTTGAACACAAATACCTGTACTTTCTACTTCTTACATGTTGAACCCAAATACCTGAACTTTCTACTTCTTACATGTTGAACACAAATACCTGTACTTTCTACTTCTTACATGTTGAACACAAATACCTGTACTTTCTACTTCTCACATGTTGAACACAAATACCTGTACTTTCTACTTCTTACATTTCCCAAACAGGCTGGTTCCTTTAGTTTGAATGTGTGTTTGGTGGCGTGATCATTATTATTTAGAGTCATTGCGTGCCTATTGATTTGAACACGATCCGTGTATCCATCATTTCCTGGTCTTCTCTAAAGAAGAGGGACCAATGAAAACGTTGTCATGTTGCCGTTGTTCAGCATGGAAACATTCATTAGCTAACAATGACATTATTGTTCTATTAATATAAAGGGAGGTCAGGTACTCTTTAAAACAGCTGCTAGTTATGGGTACTTTTTACTGAAGTACATTTCAAAGCCCAAACTTCTTTACCTTTACTTGAGTAACAAAGTTTAGTCAGTACTTCTACTTTTACCGGAGTATGTTTAAACTCGAGTATCTGTACTTCTACTTGAGTAAAGGATGTGTTACTTTTGCCATCTCTGACCACCATGAAGCAGTAACGGTGTGTTTTGGTCTCAGGTACCTGGCGGAGTGGATGACGTACGGTTACCCCACCGCTAACGTCTGGCCGCTGGACATCAAGCGCTTTGGAAACCTGCAGAGCAGCCGCACCTTCCTGAGACACCGGGTCATGGAGGTCATGCGTGAGTACTGAACTCTTAATATCGTTTTTTTTTGTTGACTACACCTTAAAGCAATACTGAAAGTTCAGTTGAAGATATGTTATGTCACGGTCTAACAAAACAAGTGGGTATCTTCTAAATGTACAGTCCTCAGCTCAGCTGGGACACACTGTGCTTAAAACACTTTAACCTTGAACAATACTATTTTTTTTAATAGATTTTTTTATTGTATTTTGTTTATTTTTTTTGTATTGCATGAAAACACCTTATTAGCCACAAACGTATCATGTACAACACCTTAGAAATTAGTTAAGTATTATTATGTTTTTCAGTTTTATTATAGTACAATATGACAACAACAAATAATAATAATAATGTGAGCATAAGAGTTTTTATTCCCAGATAAAAGAAGGTCCAGTGAACACACAGAAACTCTCCAAGTGAGGGGGAGAAAGAAACCAATACAACATGTGTTTAATATAAGTGTGTGTGTGTGTGTGTGTGTGTAGCCCTGCTGTACGAGCTGAAGGTTCCTCGCTGGGACTTCCAGACGGGCCGTCAGCTGCGGACGAGTCCTCTGTACGACCGCCTGGACACACAGGGGGCTCGCTGGATGGAGAAGCACGGATTTGAAAGGACCAAATACTTTGTACCTCATGGAAAAGGTACCCACCAGGAACTCACTCGGTCTCTTCATCCTTAAAGGTCACCTATTATGCAAAATCCACTTGTTCATGTCCTTTCTACATCAACATGTGTCCCCTCTGTGGAAAGAGATTCTGAAAGTTTCAGGAAAAAAGATTCTCTCTCTTTTTGTCCTGATCCATTTCTATAAAAACCTGTCTGAAAATGAGCTGATCAGATTTTGGCCACTTTATGATGTCATAACGATGTTTTGGCTTGTGTAACCATTAGCCAATCAGCAACCAAGGTAACCCCCCCCCCCCCCCCCCCCCCCCCCCCCCCCCCCCTTATCACCTGAATCTCCTCCTAGAGCACCATTGTGTTCTTTGTAACCAAATCTCTCTCAGAGGGGCGTGGGGAGGGGCTCCTTATTTTCATCTAAAGTAACAGACAGAGAATCAGCGCTTTGGAAACAGGGCTGAAACAGAGGGGATTATGGGATGCTGCAATGATCTGTTTGGTGTTTCAGCCAATCAGAGACATGTTTTGTATATATCTGAGACCTAAATAAAGTGATGAAAAACTGTATGATAGGGGACCTTTAAATCTTTAGTGAGTTGTTGAAATAAAACACATGTGTGTGCAGATCTGCTGTCTCTGGATCAGAGTAAAACCTTCTACAAGCCCGACTGGTTCGACATCGTCGGATCAGAAGTGAAATGCTGCAAAGAGGCCGTCTGCGTCATCGACATGTCCTCCTTCACCAAGTTTGAACTGAGTGTAAGTCACGATGGACAACTTATAATAAGAGCTGCGTCTGATATGCACTTTCATTATCCATTCATCTGCAGATTATTTAATAGGTTAACTATGTGGTCTATTAAAGGTCAGGAAATGGGGAAAAAACTTCCATCCATGTTTGAAGTCCAAGTTAATGACTTGAATTATCTTCTTTCAAAACCCAAATATATCAACTTGAATATGATTAAGAACTTTAAAAAGTAGCATATCTAAGTATTTGAGCGGCTGAAAACTGCATTATTTCATGAAAATGTACTTTTAACAATAACATTATTTAGGTTTTTACTTTATAATGTCCACTACTGTTATCCCCAATATTTGAATCACTCATGAAGTATGATAATATCATTTAATAAACCATTGTTTACTACTTCCAGTGTTTTACAAGGCTCCTGGGCTCTCCTTAAACCCTAAAGCAAAATAGACTTTTTTTGCTTGATTTTATGTTAATCACCAGGAAATCTGCATATTTGAGAGGCTGTGAAAAGCATTTTCAACTTTCCGTCAGTACACACATTTTTAAATAATCTTTTCAGCTCTACTTGTAAATACTGCAGCTGCACTTCCCTCTTGTGTTAAGCATGTATTTCCCCCATGCATTGCTCATTTTGTCACGCCCAGTGAGTGGTTTCCATGTGCCTGAACATAGCCGAAACGTTTTTAAATGACCAGATGATGAAATGTTTGTAATGTTGTAAGTCCTGATGCAGCAGTTATGTATTTTGGGTGCTGAGTGATGTAATGATGAAGTGATTAAAGACGCTCCCTCTGTTCTGCCCTGATGTTTCAGTCCACCAACGACCAGGCTCTGGATCTTCTGCAGCACCTGTGCGCCAACGACCTGGACGTCCCCGTGGGACACATCGTCCACACCGGCATGCTGAACGAGCGGGGGGGCTACGAGAACGACTGCAGCGTGGTGCGCGTCAGCAAGAACAGGTGAGGGGGACTAAGGAGATTAAACTGTGACCTTTAATCCAGCTATCATGTTATTCATCCTCTCTCTGAAGACTTAATAACGTGGGAACGGAGAACAGTTGAACATTTTGATTCTTGTCTTTGATTCACACTTTCAGAAAATCTATTTTAATAAATAGTTTTTTCTACAAAATAACTTAGATATAGCTACTGGTGGACAGTAATTCTACACACCAAGTCAAAGATATGTCGAGCATTATTACACATGAAAATTAACGCCAAACATCAGCATTACATGTACTATTGTACTATATATTATTTTATTTTGAAGGTGTCAAGATTTGTGATTCTGTTTAACTTATTCTTGAGAATCAAGAAATACTCAAGTTAAAAAAACGTTATTCATGGAAGTTTTGCAGATGATAAATGTGACATTATTATCTGCATCATTATGTCTGTGAAAGAGAGATTAACCCTCAAGTGCTTACCTGTGATTAAATAAAGGTTATTCATTTAAAAATAACTCCCATTGTGTCCCCTCTGCAGCTTCTTCATCGTGTCTCCCACAGACCAGCAGGTCCACTGTTGGGCCTGGATAAAGAAGCACATGCCCAACGACCCACACCTCCACCTGGAGGACGTCAGCTGGAAGTACACCGGTGAGAACACACACACACACACACACACACGCACACACACACACACACGCACACGCACACACACACGCACACGCACACGCACACGCACACACACATACACACACATATTCACACACACACACACACACACACACACATATTCACACACACACAGACACACAGACACACACACACACATTTATTTTAAACATAGTTTTTTTCTACAAAATAATCTAGTAATAGTTTTTGATCGACAGTTATTCTACACACAAAGTCAAATATATGTCGAACATTATTACAAATGTATTGAAAATGAACACCAAACATCAGTATTACATGTGTTTTAATATTTATTCTATTATGAAGGTGAAGATTTGTGATTCTGTTTAACCTATTCTTGACAATTGAGAAATACTTTATTCATGCAAGTTTGGCAGGTGATACATGTTACATTATATATGTGAAAGTGAGATTAACCCTCAATTGCACACACACACACACACACACACACACACACACACACATCATTCAGGTCCTGCAGAGTCCACACAACATATTAAATGCACCAGAATCAAACATCAGCTCTCTATACACAGTTCTTTAATGACCTGATTTGGGGATTGGTGTTGTAATCTAACACTAGGGGGACCAATAAGGTGGTTAATAACATGCCAAATATCTACATTATATATTTTTAGTGTAACAAATTACCTTGACTTTTTAAAACATTCTATTATTTATAAGCATTTACCGCCTTGTACAGAATGTCCCTACGTTAAGGTAGACACAAATAATGATGATGATATTCATTCCCTAAAATGAGACAAATACAATGAGCTTGGGTTTTGTAAAAAATATGAAACACTCATGGCATGGCACTCATGGCGTTCTACCAAAAATAAAAAATATATTTATTATTATTGCTATTTATCAATTTAGATTGTTTTGTTGGGATGCAGACTGTTGGAGATATGTGCCTTCTCTTTGATATATTGAAACTAGAAGGCAAGAAAAACTTGCTAAACCAAACAACAATGCCTGTTTCCCGAGATGAGAACCAGCTTCTTGGTGGGTGTAGTTCGGTAGAAAGAAAATAGTTCCCACAAGAAAATGTTCAAACAAGCTCTGTGGATTATCTTGATTAACCTGATCATGATAGGTCTTTCTAAGAAGGTGTTTATGACTTTATGTTGATAACTGTGATTCTTCCCCACAGCTCTGAATCTGATTGGTCCTCGTGCGATGGATGTTCTGGCTGAGCTGTCGTATGTTTCCATGACTCCTGACCATTTCCCCTCCATGTTCTGCAAGGTAGGAAACTAAATTCAGTTTCAATTTCATCAATACTAAAGTTGAGTTAAAACTCTGTCATATGTGCCTTTTTTTATTTATTTAATTGTGTGTATGCGCAGGATGAATATCTAGTTTAGGGTATTCAGACTCAGATTTAAGTTGAAATGATTTATTTCATATTATAAAACGGACAAGTCAAATCAAGCAATCTGATTGGTTCTTAGCCGTGATATAATGAGCGTATATCACGGGTAGAATTGTAGTTACTTTTCACAACAAGTCAGTATCCCTCCGCGTCTGAGAAAAGCTACAAACGTTACAACTGTTACATTACGTCCGTTACGAAACTAACTAACTAACAAAGCTTACGATGGAAACATGTAAGGGATAATGTGCAGCAAGGACTTATTGACCGTTGTTAAGGACGCTCACATCTGCAGAAAGAAGTCCGGTCGATTTAACTGTATACAGTTCGGCTGAAAAGCAAACTGCATGCACATGCACGTGCTTCGCGTCGGGCCGAACCACGCCCCTTAGCTGTGATATAATGAGCATATAGCATTCAATTTACACACGGCACCTATTGCACGTCTGTCCGTCCTGGGAGAGGGATCCCTCCTCTGTTGCTCTCCCTGAGGTTTCTCCCATGTTCCCCTTTAAACTGTGGGGTTTCTCTCTGGAAGTGTTTCCTTGTACGATGTGAGGGTCTAAGGACAGAGGGTGTCGTATTGTCATACTGATATTCTGTACAAACTGTGAAGTCCACTGAGACAAATGTAACATTTGTGATATTGGGCTATATAAATAAACATTGATTGGTTGATATACCACGGCCTGTCGTGAGCTATTGCTTAAATAAAACCCTCAGAAAGTAACATCCCAGCTACTGCTATGAAAACTTCTTAGTTTCTTAGTTCTTACTTACTATTTATTTATATCAAAAAGCGGAGGACCTCTAGAGGAGATCTGGTTCATTTAAAATGTTGTGTCTGGTTCATTGTTTGTAAAAAGGAGGACAGTGTGGTTTCTCTTCAGCACTTAATTTTAATTTAATTAGATACGCTGTTGTGTTTGTTGTGTTTATGTGTATAAATGTTGCTCACAATAACAAAAGTAATTGCTTGTTATTTACCCCTCATTAATAGAAACAGTATTTAGTCCACTATTTGTTCACTTAGTTTTTTTATAAAGCTGCTACTTGTTTTTTTTATTGTATTAATATGTTGCTTCCTCTTCACTATATATGCTGGTCTTCTAACTTATTTAGTCTCCTTTGGCCAGTGTCCCTTTGCTGTAACAATGTTAGTTTCTTATTCTAATTGTGTTTACCGTGTGTGTGTGTTTACGTGTTTACAGGAGATGAGTGTTGGCTATGCTAATGGAATCAGAGTGATGAGTATGACCCACACAGGAGAACCAGGCTTCATGCTGTACGTCCCCATAGAGGTGTGTCCTGCTCACACACACACACACACACACACACACACACACACACACACACACACACACACACACACACACACACACACACACACACACATACACACACACACACACACACACACACACACACACACACACCTCTCTGACAGTGGTTAAAGTTAAATGACTGTATGAGCCATATGTTAAAATGTATAATTTGATATATTATGTGTTTATAGATATATTTGAACATTGTAATTCTTTGTTATTAGTATTATTATATCATTTATTTAAACCAGCCGTTGTAAAATGTACGTCATAGCCGACTGCAGCTGCTGGTAATTAGAAAGAGAAAGAGAAAAGAATCACGGAGCAATATCATTTTTTTACCTTTGAAAATATGTGTTTGTACTGATACCTTTTGTTTAGGTAAAGAGTCAACCAAACTTACCTGAGACTTATTTTTGTTGGAGTCAAGCTTGTTGCTACTTGTGGATATGTACATTTTTGGATTAGACGGAACTACAATGACAGTCTCACATGTGGTGGTTAGAGTTAAATGACAGTCTCACATGTGTCTCCCCCCCCCACAGTACGCTCTGCACGTCTACAACGAGCTGATGTCTGTGGGTCAGAAGTACGGGATCCGTAACGCCGGGTACTACGCGCTGCGAAGCCTCCGCATCGAGAAGTTCTTCGCCTTCTGGGGGCAGGACCTGGACTCCTTCACCACGCCGCTGGAGTGCGGACGAGAGTTCAGGGTGAAGTTTGACACGGTGAGTACAGCTGATTCTGATTCTGAACTATAAGTGTCATACATCCGCTTTTTGGGGATTTTCTAAACCCAGAGAGGCAAAAGTACACACATCCTTTACTCAAGTAGAAGTACAGATACTCGTGTTTAAAAATACTCTGGTGAAAGTAGAAGTACTGACTAAACTTCTTTACTCAAGTAAAAGTAAAGAAGTATGGGCTTTGAAATGTACTTAAGTAAAAAGTACCCATAACTAGCAGCTGTTTTAAAGAGTACCTGACCTCCCTTTATATTAATAGAACAATAATGTCATTGTTAGCTAATGAATGTTTCCATGCTGAACAACGGCAACATGACAACGTTTTCATTGGTCCCTCTTCTTTAGAGAAGACCAGAGGCCTGTACTACGAACCTGGTTCAACTTAACCTGGATATGTCTGAGTTAGCCGGTTGGCCCAATCCAAAACATACGCGCTGGCGCTAAGCTGTACTACGACACTGGTTATCAAGTGGATCGCTCAAGCCGCCGTGTCCTATCTAGTTAGGTGCGCGTTCACATGAAAGGGGTGGTATTTGGAGCATTCGACCAATCACAAACATGGACAAGCGTACTGACAGCGCAGCGTCATACTTCCTGAATGAAAAGTGAACTTTAATATTAGTCAAATATGAGGAAGTTAAACTTTAAACATCCATGACTTAAACACTTTATCCAAGATAAAAGCCACATAGCTGCACCTGCAAGGTGAATACAGCTGGTAAAAGAAAAAGTGTTTGAATGCGTACATTAACAGGTTTATGATATCACTGCCCCGTCCAAGACACGAGTGGATCTGACTTTAATTACATTTGACTCGAGTGTTTCGTCAATTTAATGTGTTGCTTAAAATAATACTTCTGCATACAGTATGTGACACTGCGAGTGTTGCACGGCCAGATACGGCTCAAGAAGCTGACTCAGATAAGGAAATATATGATACATTATGATGTGATATGATATGAATGATAATGGGACACATCGCCGTCTGCACTCACAGTGCCGCGGACTGTACTTAATGTTACTCTGATCCGGTTACTTATGTCGTGGCAGATATTTAAGTAAGCTTTCTTAACGCTAATGTTATAATAGTAAGATTGCTCTGAAGATGGGAGGGGATATTCTATTCATTTTCACGTTCACACAGTCAGTTGATTTTGGCCGGCTGTCTTTCCTGCAACGGCAGTTTAAACTGTATTTCCTTTCTCCTCCTGTCATATGAATTGATATCTTTAAACACTCCGCACACGGAGCTCTGATTGGTCAGCAGGCGGTGCTTTCACTGAGTTGATCTCTTAGCCTGCCACCTAACCTGCTCCGGAGCAGGTTTGCCGCTCAGCATAAGTTACCATGGAAATCTAGCCCGCTAAAAAGAGAACCAGCGTCGTAGGACCGGAAAGCCCGAGATTTCCCTGAATTTAGCCGGCTAAGCGAAAATCCAGCTTCGTAGTACAGGCCTCTGGAAATGATGGATACACGGATCGTGTTCAAATCAATAGGCACGCAATGACTCTAAATAATAATGATCACGCCACCAGACACACATTCAAACTAAAGGAACCAGCCTGTTTGGAAAATGTGAGAAGTAGAAAGTACAGGTATTTGTGTTCAACATGTAAGAAGTAGAAAGTACAGGTATTTGTGTTCAACATGTAAGAAGTAGAAAGTACAGGTATTTGGGTTCAACATGTAAGAAGTAGAAAGTACAGGTATTAGTGTTCAAAATGTAAGAAGTAGAAAGTACAGGTATTTGTGTTCAAAATGTAAGAAGTAGAAAGTACAGGTATTTGTGTTCAACATGTAAGAAGTAGAAAGTACAGGTATTTGTGTTCAACATGTAAGAAGTAGAAAGTACAGGTATTTGTGTTCAAAATGTAAGAAGTAGAAAGTACAGGTATTTGTGTTCAAAATGTAAGAAGTAGAAAGTACAGGTATTTGTGTTCAACATGTAAGAAGTAGAAAGTACAGGTATTTGTGTTCAACATGTAAGAAGTAGAAAGTACAGGTATTTGGGTTCAAATGTAAGAAGTAGAAAGTACAGGTATTTGTGTTCAACATGTAAGAAGTAGAAAGTACAGGTATTTGTGTTCAACATGTAAGAAGTAGAAAGTACAGGTATTTGTGTTCAAAATGTAAGAAGTAGAAAGTACAGGTATTTGTGTTCAAAATGTAAGAAGTAGAAAGTACAGGTATTTGTGTTCAAAATGTAAGAAGTAGAAAGTACAGGTATTTGTGTTCAACATGTAAGAAGTAGAAAGTACAGGTATTTGTGTTCAAAATGTAAGAAGTAGAAAGTACATGTATTTGTGTTCAAAATGTAAGAAGTCAAAGTAAAAAGTCATCAGAAAAATAAGTAGTGGAGTAAAGTACTGATACTAGAAACATTTACTTAAGTATAGTAACGAAGTATTTGTACTCCACTACTTCCCACTAAACCCAATTCTCCCTGGATAAACAACATATCCTGATTCAGATGTTTTCCTCTTATTCTCCTCCTCTTCCTCTCTACAGGACACGGACTTCCTGGGCCGGGCGGCGTTGCTGCAGCAGCGTAAGGACGGTGTGTTCAGGCGCTTCGTGATGCTGGTTCTGGAGGACCACGACACGGAGCTGGACCTGTGGCCCTGGTGGGGGGAGCCGGTGTACCGTAACGACCAGCTGGCCGGCACCACCACCAGCAGCGCCTACAGCTACACCCTGGAGCGCCACATCTGCCTGGGCTTCGTCTCCCCCCCCCCGAGTCCAGAGGGGCTGCCCACCCCCATCACGCCCCGACTTCATCAACCGAGGAGACTACGAGGTGGACATCGCCGGGCAGCGATACCCCGCCAAAGCCAAGCTCTACCCCTTCAGCTCGCTCTTCACCCAGCAGAAACGCCGCAAGGAGGACATGGAGCTCAGCAACCTGCAGGGGAAGTGAGGAGGCGGAGAAACGCCCGAAATCCAATACTCCTTTGATGTTTTTTACAACCCAGTTTAGATTGAACCAAAGCCCCCCAAGCATTCTCTCTATTGTCAGCCAGTCAGACAGAAAAAACAGGTTTTAGGTTGTATAGAAGTCGATTAGGAAAATAACCCGACTTCACACTTCATTTATTATCTTTAAAGTCTAAAATGCAAGTCTTCTTCAGTACAGAATCATGTGCATATGCTTTAGGGCTGTGCTGCTTTGTGATTGACAGGTCAGTACCGTCATGTTGTCCACTTAAAGTTCTCTTTTACAATTTGTGTCTTCAGTTAATGGGTGTTAATATTGTATTTTGGTCTCATAAGAAAGTCCCCAGGAAGTGCGCCTGACATTGATGCAACGGTTCCTAGTGGCCAAATGGCGGTACTACACCTTATGTGTCAGTCCATGAAGCCCTAAAAGAATTTCCCCTTTGACTTACATTGGGAAAGAGAAGTATGAACCACTTGTATAGCCCTTATGTGAAGCCATTAGGGTGTAAAATGCGCTACAAGCTGAATCTTTACTGTATCGTAGACGTAATTGTACTCTTCTATCTCTTCAATGACGCGTTTGCAGACTCGAATGCGTGGTGAAATCTCAGCTGGGTTGGAAAACGCTCGACACCTCCTCCACTCCTGCTACATATCGCCTCCTCTCCTAGCTGCGGGCCGTGTGCAAAATCACTCCTCGTCTCCTTCTCACGCCCCCCCCCCCCGCTGCGCCCGCCTCTTTATACGTGCAATATTTACTAGCGCCAATTTATTATTAGATTAAATCAGATTAACTTTATTGATCCCAAACTGAGGATTGTTTTGTTTCAGTGGCATCTTAACAAGCACGTGATTTAAAAATATAATTCAATATAACATATCAACAGCAGAAAGATATATATATGTATAGTATTTACAATATCAAATATAAAGAGAAATTTTGTTTTGTTTATTTGTTTACTTATTCTGTTTAATGTGTATTCCATAAATAAATAAATTCAAGTATATTTAAATAAAGATGATAATAAACAGCAAATATATACATATCAACAGTACTATACATATCTAAAGAGTATCCAAGTAAAGTACAAGTAAAATATACCTTTTTATTGTTATTTGAACTCTAATATTATCTATAGATTATACGATATAAAATAAACATGATGTATCTTCATTTTAATTCTGTATATTTTATAACGTGTATTAAATAGATAAATATCGATGTCAAATTCAACATAGAAATATACCGAATAATTTTGTATTCGTCATTTGTTTTCTAACTTATTCTGTATATTTTATATTATATATATTTTGAACTTGTGTGCGTCGCCTTGTTTACACGCTGCTGCAACAAAACACTTCCCCCTGTTCCGGATAAATAAAGTTTATGTAATTGAATCTGAAAGCTTGTGCTGTATCAGATGCAGCACGAATGCTTTACACTCAACCAGTGCCTTTGTGTGAAGGCATCGACACTGAGTTCACTTTAACGCATCAGAGGGGATCTCAAGGGGATGTTGAAACTAAAAGGATTGACAATCTCCTCCTGTAGTCTTTCAGAGTCTGTGGAGTCATTTAAATGTAGATTAAGATCGATGCTGATGTGCAAATGCAGTTGTTATGCACTCTGTTATTGTGAATGTAAAACATGTGAGTGGTGTGGCCTACTTGATATCCTTTACTAGGGCTGCAACTATCATTATTTTCTAGATTATTTCATTATTATTTGGGCTTTAAAATGTAAGAAAATAGGTTAAAATATTCCTCAAAATCCAACGTTATGTCTTATACTGTAAGGCTAAGTCAGTCAAAAAATCAGCCAAATATATTAAATTAAATATTATTTAAAGACAAATGTAATTGTTTGCATGAGAAATTACAATATATCAAAATATAGACTCATCCTTTGAGCTCTAGACTTTATACTGTCCACTACATTAATATAAGTAACTGCTCGTGTTGGTAAAGCTTCCCAGGTTCTCCGTTTAATCCTAAAACCAAATCAAAATGAACTTAACTTGAATTGATCTCTTTTCCCCCTCCATCTGTCCTGGAGTCATTTTGCTGAGTCATGCTTGTGGAAAATGTATTTGTAGTGATATAATCTGCCGTGTTATTTATGTTTTTTGGTCGTTTTGAAGTACCTTTGCCCCGGTTTTGTTTCCCCGATGTGTTTGAGTGTGTCTGATGTGTTCAGAGTCTAATTATCTAACATTGAGTTCTGCCTGATGTTTGTGTAAAGGACTTCATTGAGAGTTGAAATAAAGCGAAGTATTTTTGTAAAGCGAGTGTGTTTCAAATCTCTTATTTTCAATACTGCATTTTATTTTATAGTCACACAGCTTTAAGTCATATCAGCCGTTTGAGTTCTTCATATTATTTTCTGCAGTTCTCCCTCTAAATGTGCATATTTTCAAATGCTTTCCCGAATATTCTGTACATGAAGATGGGACTTCGCAATTAGTCAATCAAGATTTCTTTAGTCAATTGGTGAACACAAGATTTGAAGTGGAGCTTTTTTTCGAGATTTTATTTGTTCCTCGACTTAACATTTTCTAAGTATAGAACAGCCTTATTAATTATAACATTTCTCGGCAACAATTCACACTTGTACATACTCTTAATGCATACAACTGGCCAAAAGAGAAACTTGAGAGTTGGATTTCTCAGAGTACAAGATGTCAAACGGCACCAAAAATACTGCTGAGAGAGAAGAGCTTTGAAATTAGGAAACAAAACCATATGTAACAATATTATTTTATCAAATGACTTATTTTCAGGATTTAGTAGCAGTGTGTTTCAGGAGAGTATGCTCAAATGAAAGGGAATATGTAAGGATACAGATTAAACCCACTGTAAAAACTCTAGACACCAACTCATGTTTTACACCGCTGATTACAGCTGTGTTTCTGTTTGTTAAAAAGGTCCTTTGTAATAAATAATGATCAGAGCATCAGTCTGTCTGTCCCCACACACACACACACACCCACACACACACACAATGTGAGTTCCGCTCAGAGTTACACAACAAAAAAACTCTTTATTTATCAGATTACAACACAAACGGTGCGTTCAGGGGATCATGTTCTTCTGGCTTTGCGGGGACGGCAGCCATTGTGCGGCACGGGGGTGTTATCTGTGATCGAGACCACCTGCAGACCCCCCATGGTGAGGCCCTGGATGGCAGACTGCACAACAGAGACATATATTAGTTTATCAAGAAGCTAAGGGAACCGATCAATATGTCTGTTCCTCCTCACTTTAAAAACAATAGCAGTCAAGAGTTGTAACGTTAAATAATAAGATTTACAATATGTAAGGCATTTCAGGGGCTTCTTTCTTACAATATAAACAGTGACATATTTTATGTTTTGGACTTACCCATCGTCCTGGTCCGATACCTTTGATAACGACACGGACAAACGTCACGCCCTTCTCTGAGGCTTTCTGAGAGGAAGAGGAGGAGGAACAGGAGATTATTTTCTACATGAACAGACATCTTTCTCCACTTCATCTTTTATAACACGTATCAATGTGACCTTTTTTATGACGTGCTTTAGTATGAGCTTCGGATTCTTTTCTGACATGACATAGGATGTAGTGTAAACTTTTATTTGATCAATACAACATAGTTGTATAGAGTGCTGTGTCTATGAGAGCCGTGTGTGTGTTAGTGACGTGTGTGTGTGTGTGTGTGTGTGTGTGTGTGTGGATGTACGGCGGCAAAAGAGAATATTTATATGAGGGATATGAAGGTGTCACATGTTTTTGAGCAGTAAGTAATGTCTTAGACTTAGTCATTACAGAGTGACGTGTGTGTGTGTGTGTGTGTGTGTGTGTGTGTGTGTGTGTGTGTGTGTGTGTGTGTGTGTGTGTGTGCAGACGTACGGCAGCAGCAGAGATTCCCGCGGTCTGAGCAGCGACCGGCGTGGACTTCTTGATGTTCTTAAAGCCTTCGGTCCCGCAGGACGTCCGGACCAGAGACTTACCCCCGCTCTCCGTCAGCTGGATGTGTGTGCTGGGACAAACACACGAGTCACACACTGTTTACCTCCTCACCAGTTATATATCCCCCACTGCATCACATCAAAGCTTATATCTGCAATGCTTTCCACTTGTCATACCAATACTGGAAATATTTCATTTACGGGTTGTTAGAAAAATCTAGGCTTGAGCTTCAATAATCAGCATCCAAGTGTTTGTGATCCTCTCCAGAATGGAAGTAGTCATCACATACAGAGCATCAACTAGTTCCTGAACAGTGTCCTTCACATGCTGATATCCAAGAGAGGGAGTTACACAGTCACACGATGGAGGAATAGAAAGCAGTATTCAATGTTTACTTCAGATTAGCTCCACGTCAGAAATGATCATGCTTGTCATATCTCCATAGAGGCTGAATCATCATGTTCATCACATAGCTATCATATGCCTCAAACAGTCCTGATGCTCTTCTAGGTAATCATACATCCTGTCATGCTCACAGCTACAGTTGGGATACCTTTGTTATCATGTGTACTCTGATATTGGAAGAGTACATTCACTATTTTCCCAACACGGGTATATCTGTGACCTAAGATTTTCATCGTCATAACTACACAGTAGCTATGTTCGTATGACAAAATAAAACCTTGAAGCTTGATCTATATTTGAATGTTAACAAGTTTTCTTAAAATAGTTTTCTTATATTAGTTTTATTTTTCCTTTTCTCACGATGTATCGTCTTTGACTGTGTTTATGTATGCACCAAGGCACATTTTGTGTATACCTACTTTGCAATAAACCTGATTCTGACTCTGCACACGTAACAGCTGATGTGTTGCATGGCGAAACAAAATGACGGTTAACTTAAATGATCAATACAAAATGATGTCAAAACGATCTCAGAATCCCTGTTTTATGGTCTTTTCCACTCACTTGTTGTACGTCGCTTTTACGTGAACGATGGGTAACTCTTCGAACTTCCTGCCCCCCCATCTCAGGGACGAGTCATAGCCCGGCATCGGGGGGAAGATGCTGGAAGATTCAAAGTAGTGTTAATATCGCTGTTCCATTATTATACATTTAAACATTGTTTTTGTTATTTGGGAACACACTAGAGATACTGCAGATTCCTTGTGTAATAGTAGACGGACATGTACATGTACATGTATGTAAAAGTAGGGTTAATATCGCTGTTACATTTCTATACTACAGTAAGTAGACCCATTGTTACCTTTATATTCTGCCTTTCTTTAACAAGGTTTGTCACAATGAGATGAAATATCCCTTTCATCATTGCAAAGAATAGCAGCAACACAGGGTTTCAAAGATTAACACGTCCTGTTGATGGAGGCTTGCAATTTTATCAAATGTTTGCAAATTCCCAAAAAGATAATAAGCAGGAAGAGATTTTTACCAAGAATACCTTGTAATACTCTGTAAATTAAGACAAATCGGTGCACATGAAGCAGGCCATTTCACTTAAGAGAATAACACACAATTGTTAAAAATAATGAATGCTCAGAAGATTGCTAGATGATTAAAGATAAGTATGTTCATGTTAGTGACTTGTTACTTTATCCTTTGACCTAAAAGAGTGTTATCAATCAAGCGTATATAAAAGTAGATGCCAAGAAAAATGGTTGACTATTTATGGCTACAATTTCCTCAGACAATGCAGATTTAACAACATAAGTTATTTGGGAAAGCACGAGAGATACTGCTGAGTGTGTAATAGTAGACGGACATGTACAGGTGTGTTTTCTGACCTGAAGTCTTTGGAGGAGGTTTTCCTGGCCTCTGTGCTGGAAGCTGCCTCCTGAAGTCTGACGGCACTGGAACAAACGGTCCGCTGCAAGGCAGTGCCTCCACATCTAAAAACACACAACATTTAGACAATTATTATAGAGCAGTGTGGCTGTGGTCATCTGGACAATACGTACAATTGGGGAACAAACTACAGGTGAATGGGATGTTATACACATTTAAACCAACAGGTATCCCAATAAAAATGTGTTTAATTGATTACTGAAATTATTTTTTATTTTTTGTGTATTACAAGTTTACTTATGTTGTTTGGTTATATAAACAAAGAGGCAATATCTTATTAAATATGTGCTGATTTACAAAGATTTAACGAAAGATATCTGAACATTGGATAAAGCCAGGTTCAAATTCTTATTTCATTTTAAATAATAAAATAGGGATATTTATCAAGCTCTGATGTATTAGACACTACAAGGGAATACAATTTAAAGAACACAAACGTATATATATTTAAATAAATTACGGTGAAAATGTACCAGTTCATTATTTTGATTAAGAAAATCAAGTTTGTTTTGCACTTCTTCTGAAATGTTATGTTTAAATGTGCAAATGAGGCATTCATAATGCTAACTTTTGGTTAATTAAAGAGAAATATAAAGACTCCAAAATACACATGTGTTAAGAGAAAGACTTAAAAGTGTAATTCGGATGCTTTCTTTTCACTATTCTTAAATGAAACGTGTTAGGGAAACGAAATCTAACAATAACACATATAACAAGTAGCTTCATAACACTCAGCAAGCTGCAGGCTTTATCTGAGCTAACGTTAGCCACTCGCTAAAAGTGATGCTAGTAAACCACGAAATACTTACAGTGAGCTTCCACTTGCATTTACGGAGGCAGCAAGCTGTCGGCATACGGTACTCACAGAACTAACTAATATACAGTTTAATTTATACATGTTTGCGACAAGTTAGCTGTAAGACAGGTAGCTACTTTACACACAACAAATGTGACATTGAAGGTACTGTAAATCCAGACCAGTAAGATTTTTATTTTCTGAGGGGTGACAAGATCATGATAACGTTTATTTACTATGAAATAACAGTTCTCACTTCAAAAAATGATTTAAAACTATATATTAAACATTTGAATATTTGATTAATAGGTTGTAAAGTACTAATAATTATATATTTTCTTTTTAAAAGAGGTATAGTAATATCGTCCTCCCCCACTTTTATCTTAATAGACCGTTCCGATTCCTGAACAGGATTGTGGGTAGAAGTAGAACCATGCTAGCTTCAAGTACTAAGTAAACCGTCGTAAATACGAACTTCATGGTTGCTCATCATGGTGAACACTCGCTTAAAGCGCCAAAAATAGATATAAATAAGGTTATATTTTAGATAAATCAAAAAAACACTTGAAAGCAGGAACAGGTGTTAATATTCTTGTCTTGATTTTTTTTCAAACCAAGAAATTACCGTGATTAGAAATCCCTCCGCAAACTTTTTGACAGCGTCAGGATTTTCTGCACATACATTGAACATAGCAAAACAAGATGGCAGCGCCCTGCAGAAGGATGGCAGGTCGGTCTCTCCTACAGTTTCTCTCTTCTTTCAGCCGGACATCGGTCAGTAACTCGGGGTTCCGTCAGTTCTCCAGCACATCTGTGTGTCGGGGCTCCAATCAGGCTCAACATGTGGAGGAAAGAGCTTCTTCTCCGTGGACTCTGATGGCGGCCGTGTGTCTGCAGAGACTTCCGGTCATCTCTGCAGAGAGCAACCCTATAGAGCAGCAGTTCAGAGACATGATGATCCAGGTGAGGCTTTTATAATATAATCAAGTGTTAAATCAGACTTTAGTTCCACCTGGAGTAAATGCACAAGCTACCCTGCAGTATACAAAGTCATTCAAACTAGCTGCACCTTTACCAGCTTTGAGAACACTTTAATGATCAATCATTATAAAACATATCATATATATTATTCTGAAATGGACCAATCTGCACAATGACTACTTTTACTGTCGCTACTTTAACTATATTTTGATGATAATACTTTTTTACTTTTACTTGAGGAACATTTTGAATGCAGGACTTTTACTGTAACAGAGTATTCCTACACTCTGGTACTTCTACTTTTACTCAAGTACAAGATCTGAGTACTTCTACTTTCACTCAAGTACAAGATCTGAGTACTATATGACACTTTTATTGCATACTATACCAAAATATGTTTATGACATACTTATAATACACATTTTTAATGATTTTTTTTAATGATTTTTTTAATGGGATACAATTCTACAATTTTCTAACGGTATCATATCCACACATTTTTTATGGCATACTATACTAGGACATTTACATAACAAACCTAGTAGGCAGGCATTAAAGATGTGTAAACAGTGAGATCATTCTCGGATGTTGACCATCTAAATGCCTGCCGACACGTTTCCAGATATAGTATTTTATTTTAGTATTTGATAGACTATGACAGAGTATATGGAGGTCAGTGAGTCTCCTGGAGGTTGAGATGTGCTCTTTATCTCCAGATGGAGCTGGAGAAGAGCATGCTGTCGGACCACGAGCTGCGGCTGCTGGACGACGCTGAGAGGTTGAGGAGAATGCAGGCGGGCGAGTACGACTCTGACGAAGAGGAGGACCGGCGGGATCAGGAGATCGTGTTGGCCCAGGACCTGGAGGACTCCTGGGAGCAGAAACTCAATAACTTCCAGCCGGCGGCCAGGGTCTCCGGTCAGTACGGGGAGGGTCACATAAGTCACATGACTTAATGGGTTTAGACTGGATGAACTCCAAAAAGACTTAATCCAATCCAATCCAACTTTATTTATATAGCACATTTAAAAACAACAGAGTTGACCAAAGTGCTGTACATCAATACATATATAAAAGCAGCATAAATACATTTAGACAAAACCGATAGGACAAAAATAAACTAATGTAAAAGCACGAGACAATAATAAACAATAAAACCATACTTTAGCCACAGACTTTTTAATGTTCATCACTCGTGACTTAACCTCGACTTGAAGTGATGAATAAATGAAACCTTTATTTCCCCCTAGGGGTAAGGAGCAGTTGTAGAAAATCAAACTAGATATGTAGAAGTACCCGCCTAATACTCCTCTATCGATATGGACATTTGGACAATATTGTTAAGTTGACTATTGATGCTTTCACAAGAGATGTATTCAATGATATATTTGATAATTCACCGTCAGAAATGTGTTTCCTTGTTTCTTGTCTTAATATTTTCCCTTGTTTGAAGTTGCAAATGGAGCGTATCATATCGTATATCGACTGATTGGGTAAAAGTCATTAACACAACCTCTAACCCAGTCGTCTGTGTTTCCTCAGACTCAGAGGGAGACCCCGGTTCTCTGCAGCGCTGCCTCTCCGACTCTCTGCTGCTGCTGGTGGAGCGGCCGGTGGGGAGCGAGAAGCTGTGGATGCTGCCTCAGACTGAGTGGCAGCGAGGAGAGACTCTGAGGGAGACGGCCGAGAGAGCACTCAGCTCACTGCCAGGTAACGCACAGGGGTTTTCAGGGTTCATACAGTCATTCAAAACCTGGAAAAGTCATGGAAAAAAATATTTTTCCCAAAGTTTTGGAAAAGTCATGGAAATATAACTACATTTGCATCAAATATAATTTATATTTTATCTAATTGCCGAAAATAGTAACTATACTACTATAATGATAATAAATACTGTATCGTATAGTAATGAAACGTAAAATGGCATTTAACTGTTGCGGTATTTTGCTGGTGAGAGATGTTTACAATCACGCCCTTTAGTCTACAGTGGCTTTAGCCTGTAGGAGCTAGTAAGCCTACTATTTGATATAGTCCTCTGTTTTTAAACCGTTTAAATTCCTATTAAGTATTTTAAAATCTGTGTTCAAGTGCTTTACATTATGTTAAAGGTCCCATGTCATGCTTTCCCGGTTATTACCCGTCCCCTTGTGTGTTTATGTAGCTTTTTCTGCATGTAAACGGTCTGCAGAGTCACAAACCCTCAAAGTACACCCTGTAGAGAGTAAAACTCTAACACAGAAAAGACCTGTCTATGCTGCCCCAGAACGCCTCGTTGGACATTTCTCTTTTTCCATTGTTTGCTTCTTGGGTATAGTGACGTATTTCGGGTATAGTGACGTAACGTAACGTCCGCGGAGCCGTTACGTTTGGACCAATCCGCGGACTTCGTCACACACACACACTCGGCGGGACGTTGCGAGGCTCGCTGCTGCGAGGAGCGGGACACTGTGAGCTGGCTCACTGGTGTGGGGTCGGCGAGACAGCGAGACAGCGCGGAACTCAGCCTGGGCACACACACAAACTCCCAGCCAGGCTGCGGGTGTGTGTGTGTGTTTCGGGCTGGGTTTCGCTGTGTCTCGCTGTCTCGCAGACGGCCACTGGGCTCACAGGGAGGGGGGGGCAGGAGCTCCAACAAGCCGTTTAGGACAGAGAGTGAATACACATACTATACAGAGATGCTGTATGAGAAACCAATGTGAGTTTGGAAAATTGCACAATATAAATCTATTTTAGTAGACCTCAACAATGGAATTATGATCAGTAGAAATGGCCATGACATGGGACCTTTAACTCATGGGGCACTGCATCTGCCAGGTAACAGGAACCAGACATTTTACTCAATATGTTTAAAATGAAGTTGCTGAGATTCAATCCACTGTTTTTAAACCTTTTCTAAATGAGTGTGTTTAGTATTTTAAAATCTGTGTTCAAGGGCTTTAAATTATGTTAAATCATGGGGCACTGCATCTCCACTAAAACCCCCTTTCTTCAAGTTATTTTAAAGGAATACGTAAACCTTAAAATGACCACTTAAATATCTATTACTATTATGATCTTATAGTTGATCAAAATAACAGTTTTGGCGATAATCATGCAGCATGCTTCCCACTGAGTCAGTTAAATAAAATATACATTAACTCCTGATACTGAGGCGCTTTAAATAAAAAACCTCTACATGTAAACGCCAAGAGGAGCTGACACATGAATAGATCATGAGCATTGATGTTGAACGGTTTATTTCAACGCTTAACAGCTTAAAAGGCTTGATTTCCTGTGTAAAAAAGTATAAAACATGATTAAAAGAACCTTTCTTTACAGCTAATATTTAATATTTAATGTGAGGGACATTTCCTCCGTGTGTTTCCAGGTCTAAGTAGATGTGACCGTGTGTAATCTGTGTAATCAGTGGCGTTTGATTGGTGAAACGCAGCGTGTGTAAACGATGTTGGTGGAGTTTTCAGGACGTTTGATCCTCTCGTTGTGGATGATTTGTACTGCGAGTATCACACTGCTATTTCAGAGAAGAGCCCATCAAACTTTAATGATCCCGGGGATAAAAACTGGGTCATTACAGCGCCGGAGATTAGGGAGGAGACGCAGAAATAATGCAGCAAATGGAGCGTGCTCACAATAATAATAAAAGCTGAACAGCGAATATTTATGATATGGATCGTACCTTATATCCTGCTAAAGAAATGGCTCTGAGGTTAATAGAAAATACATTTTACCCAATTTCCACCTTCCACACTCGCTCGTCAATATCCTGTTTCTGCTGTTTTCTATTTAAAGGGTTTTAAATACTAAGGTTTTAGTGTAAATGCATGTTTGTGTAGTAGTGGGCGTACAAAAGGATAAATAAGATTATATGTATACTATATGTCGTGCAAAGGTGCACAGTAAAGAGTATGAGAAAGGACACAAATATCACATGATGGTAATAATTAAAGGTAAAGCGATTACTCCTTGTTCACAATGCTTCAAAGGATACTGTATGTTTACCCTAAATTAAATACAATTCGTATTGCACTTTAAATCAAAGTTAAAGAGTCCTCTCCTGCTGATGTTCAGGTGTATATCAGTATGTAGTGTCTCTACTTTAAAGAGTCCTCTCCTGCTGATGTTCAGGTGTATATCAGTATGTAGTGTCTCTACTTTAAAGAGTCCTCTCCTGCTGATGTTCAGGTGTATATCAGTATGTAGTGTCTCTACTTTAAAGAGTCCTCTCCTGCTGATGTTCAGGGGTATATCAGTATGTAGTGTCTCTACTTTAAAGAGTCCTCTCCTGCTGATGTTCAGGTGTATATCAGTATGTAGTGTCTCTACTTTAAAGAGTCCTCTCCTGCTGATGTTCAGGTGTATATCAGTATGTAGTGTCTCTACTTTAAAGAGTCCTCTCCTGCTGATGTTCAGGTGTATATCAGTATGTAGTGTCTCTACTTTAAAGAGTCCTCTCCTGCTGATGTTCAGGTGTATATCAGTATGTAGTGTCTCTACTTTAAAGAGTCCTCTCCTGCTGATGTTCAGGTGTATATCAGTATGTAGTGTCTCTACTTTAAAGAGTCCTCTCCTGCTGATGTTCAGGTGTATATCAGTATGCAGTGTCTCTACTTTAAAGAGTCCTCTCCTGCTGATATTCAGGTGGATATCAGTATGTAGTGTCTCTACTTTAAAGAGTCCTGTCCTGCTAAAAAGCTCTTTATTTCTCTCATACAGCCTGTGCTGCAGCACCTCTTTTCACCCTCTGTCTGAAACCAGAGCCCAGTCTGCTCTGATTGGTTAGCTGGCCGGCTCTGTTGTGATTGGTCAACCGCTTAGAGACGTCCCGCCCATTAGCCTATCACGTACAATGTGTTGGAGCGCTAGCCAATAGGAGCGTGATATAAAAAAACTTTAATTTGTTTGCATATTACACTGCCTCCCAAGGAGAGTATTTATGAGCGTTTTAAACGTTAATATCGCACTCATCGGTCATGTTCGTTTAACTGTGGGAAGCCAAAGTCCTGATCACAATTATTATTCCATTAACTGCAGCCCTGGTGGAAAATGAGTCTCTTGGAGCGTTGAGTGTGAGATTCAGATGACAGCGTAATTGATTAAGACTTAATTGTGTGTTGTTGTGACAAAACACAGTATTAGGGAACTTAACTCAAATGCAGCATGAAACTAACACAGCTGCAGCATGTGCAAACACATCTTTAAATCCATGTATAACTTAACTTTAAAGGTCCCATGTCATGCTTTTCTGGTTATTACCCGTCCCCTTGTGTGTTTATGTAGCTTTTTCTGCATGTAAACGGTCTGCAGAGTCACAAACCCTCAAAGTACACCCTGTAGCGAGTAAAACTCTAACACAGAAAATACCTGTCTATGCTGCCCCAGAACGCCTCGTTGGACATTTCTCTTTTTCTTCCTGGGTACAGTGACGTGCCATACCCAAATGGACCCATTGGTCCAAATGGACCAATCCGTGCAGCTCCTCACACACACACACACACACTCTCTCAGCGGCGAAACTATGATGCGCTTGGGGGGGGGGGGTGCCAGTGGTGCTCAGGCTGAGTTTCGCGATGTCTCCCGCTCCTCTCAGCAGCGAGCTGTGCAACGTCCCGCCAACACGGCACCCAGACCCCACGCAGCATTCTCATCTGTTTGTCATTACTGGTGTCATTTTCTGGTTGCAAATGCCATTGTAACACATACACACTGATGTTCCGCTGTAACAGTGGTGGACTGATCAGAACAGAGTGGGCGAGCTGACCAATCAGAGCACAGTGGGCTCATAGGGAGGGGGGGGGCAGGAGCTCCAACAAGGCGTGTAGGACAGAGAGTGAATACACATACTATACAGAGATGCTGTATGAGAAACCAATGTGATTTTGGAACATTGAACAATGTAAATCTATTCCAGTAGACCTCAACAATGGAAATATGATCAGTAGAAATGGCCATGACATGGGACCTTTTTAAATATCCCTCATGTACGCACTAATGTTGGCAGAGATTTTTTTAATGAAATGAACAAACTGCCCTCAAACTACAATTATTAATTCCATTGGTTCTTGTTTTATATGTTTATAATGGTGGAGTTGTTTTGCTGTTAGGGTTAGTGGTGGGAAAGAGTTTCTTTATCTCAATAAGCCTAAGGAAATAAAAATAAAATGCTAATTAAAAAATGAATTGGAAAATAAAGAAATAAATAATACAAATGACATTCAAGCAAATAGAATAGCAATAGTGTTAAAGTAATAATTAAATAAATACAATTTAAATATATAAAAACGTAATGCAAAATAAAAACTAACTAGAAATGAAACACAACAAATAAAATACAATTAGTATACATTTAAAATAACATACAACAAAATTGAATACAAATAGTATAAATGATGTATAAAATAAATAAATAAACACAAATGAAACCTTGGCACAGCTGCCCCCCCTTGTGTCTCCAGCTGATTGACCCCCCCCTCTCTTCTCTCTCCCCCTGCAGCAGCATCTGGTTTCAAGGCCACTTTCCTGGGGAACACCCCCTGTGGAGTCTACAAGTACAAACTGCCCCGAGCGGCTCGCACTGAGAGCTCCGTGGGGACCAAGGTGTTCTTCTTCAAAGCCGTGCTTTCCGACGCCAGCGCCCCTCCTGCCACAGAATCCCCAGAATCCTCTCTGTTGTGGGTGACGAAGAGCGAGCTGCAGCGCTACGTGAAGCCGGCGTACCTGAGGAAGGTCGAGCGCTTCCTCCTCGGCTTCTGAACACAAAGAGGGACAGTATTTATGAGCCCAGGAAGATATCTGTCGACTTCTACCATCAAATGTCTTTCAATAGATGTGTTGTATTGTATAAATAAATCATTTTTTCCAAACAAACTTTGAACTTTAAGTTAGCTTCGCTTTATATGATCAGATAACAGAGGTTTAAAGTAACTAAGTACATGTACTTAAGTACAATTTTGAGATACTTGTACTTAACTTGAGTATTTCCATGTTATGCTACTTCATACTTCTCCACTTTAATTCAGAGGTAAATGTTGGACTTTTACTCCACTACATGTATTTCATTTTACTCAAGTACGAGATCTGAGTACTTCTACTTTTACTCAAGTACGAGATCTGAGTACTTCTACTTTTACTCAAGTACGAGATCTGAGTACTTCTTCCACCTCCAAAATAATATCTTATCCTCTTATATTACCTCCTAAAGTTCGACTTATGAGTGAATCTGTGATGAAGGCCGAGCGCTTCCTGCTCGGCTTCTGAACACAAAGAGGGACAATATTTATGAGACGCAGGAAGATATCTGTTGTCTCGTTACACAAAAAGGCATTCAGTGTTGTATTAAATAAACTATTTTTTCCAAAACAAACTGTGGACTTTAAGTTAGCCTCGCCTCAAATAATATGTAGTTATCTTAAAATTCCTCCTCAACTTCGACTTATGAGTTAAGCATTCTTTGTAGTCCCTTAGAGGTTTTTCAAAATAGGCCCGAAGTTTTTATAATCTCCACAATTTTAGCAACGAATGAGCATTTTATTTTCCATTTTGATAGTTTGGATTTTATTGCTTCTATAGAATGTCGTCGTCTTTCAGTCCTTGGTTTGTGTTGAATTTCACTACATTTAATGTGAAATATACCAACATTTTAACAGTAATCTTTAACATATTTTCCTGTACTTTTATGCAGATCGTTTGCAATTTACAAAACTTTAAAGGTTTTCTTAATGACTTGAATGTTGCTCTTACTATGTTCAATGCTGAGAAGCTTAAACCTGTACATATATATATATATATATTATAGTAGTTGATATATTATATTTATTTGGTTTTAATAATCCAATTCTGAAAGGTAGCTAGGAAATAAAGCTGTAAAATGAACATTGCGGAGTAAAATGACAACGTATCTGCAAAATGTAATGAAGTAAAAGTATAAAGTTGCATACGGTGGAAATACTCAGGTCAAGTACCTCAACATTTGACTTAAGTTCAGTACTTCAGTAAACATATACTTAGTTTATTTCCCAAGAAGGGTAATAACAGGTGAGCTGTGTTCATCAGCCAGAGGCACGGTGCATTTAAGGACATTTCCAGGAGAAATGAACAACCTGTAATGTGTTTTTGTTGTTAAGAAACTGCAGCATTTAATGAGAATGAAGAGTTAAAAGTGAAAGCCAAATGTTGTTTCTGCAGTTTGGAGAGACTCTCAATCTGACCTGAGTGGGCGGTGCTTCGGCTCCAGCACAAACACATTCACAAACTGATCATTTCTGACGGAAAACACATGAATAAATGTTACACTAATTCCACATTACCCATCACTGAGTGAAACTGGGAAAGTGAGATTTAAGGATGCAGGCATTAAACAAACAAGGGAAGCAGAGCACTACTGAGTTGCATTCTGGGAAATGTAGGCTCTGGTGTTTTTAGTTTTAAAAATGTTAAACATCTGAGCCTCTGCTACTTAGTAATAAGCTGTAAAGTTGAGGCTTTAAATCTTGTTAACATCCACTTACTGCTTAATAATGAATGTATGCACTGGTGTAAGTATTCAGATTGTAATGTAATAAACTGCAAACTGCCATCAAACTACTAGACAATGGGTTATCTGGGAGCATTTACAGTTTCATATCTGTGTATATTGAACTGTCTTCAATTATTATTATTAATTATTGTGTCGTTTTTTCTGTCTGTTTAAATGCTTTATTGTTCCTGAAAAGACAAATAATCTCAATGGGACTGCCTTATTTAAAACACTTTTAAAATATATTAAAAAAAAACTAAAAAAGGGATAACATATAACATTTGAAAAAGAGATCTTTATCTCAATCAGACTGACTTTAAAATATAAGTAAAATAAAATAATGTTAACATACAAATGTAAGAATTGGAATATATTTATATTTTGAAAGAAAAATAGAAAACTGGTAAAGAGATCCATTCCTCAATCAGACGGACATATACAATACAAAAATAATCAGACATTTAAAAAATTAAAATAAAATAACATAATTAAAAAAATATATACAAATAAAATAGATGGTTGAAAAAGACTGCAATATAAAAAAATCAAATAACATAATAATCACAAATAAATAAGATCTCTGCACCAGACCCTGTGCTGGGACAGTAGATGGCAGTGTTTGCACACCACACCGCTCTGTGTAAACCACTGTGTGACCGCAGAGACTGCAGAGCTCGGATCTACTCGCTTCCTCTTCCTCACGCTGGAAATATCCATCATTGCAGGCAAATGTTCCTCTGGAAAAGCTACGATTCTTCCTCCTAGGTGAGAGCATTGTGATGTTCCCGGTCTCTGCTCTCTATTCCTGTCGACTGGGACGGGACTTATTCATGTTGGAGACACTGGCATTACATTTCTCCATCTTTAGTTTTCAGGGCTTGTTGAAAGCCTTGTGAGATCAGTGCAGTCTGTAGTGAAGGTCATTCTCTCACTGCTGGACTTTCCTTTCACACACAGGGCAGCAGAGGTGGAAGAAGTACTCAGGACATACTTGAGTAAAAGTAGAAGTAATCAGGACATGTACTGCACTTGAGTAAGAGTAGAAGTACTCAGATCTTGTACTTGAGTAAAAGTAGAAGTACTGAGGACATGTACTGTACTTGAGTAAAAGTAGAAGTACTCGTATCTTGTACTTGAGTAAAAGTAGAAGTACTCAGATCTTGTACTTGAGTAAACGTAGAAGTACTCGTATCTTGTACTTGAGTAAAAGTAGAAGTACCAGAGTGTAGGAATACTCTGTTACAGTAAAAGTCCTGCATTCAAAATGTTCCTCAAGTAAAAGTAGAAAAGTATTATCATCAAAATATAGTTAAAGTAGCGACAGTAAAAGTAGTCATTGTGCAGATTGGTCCATTTCAGAATAATATATATGATATGTTTTATAATGATTGATCATTAAAGTGTTCTCAAAGCTGGTAAAGGTGCAGCTAGTTTGAATGACTTTGTATACTGCAGGGTAGCTTGTGAATTTACTCCAGGTGGAACTACAGTCTGATTTAACACTTGATTATATTTCACATCATTCATCCACATCTGTAAAGTCACTAAAGGTATTAAATACATGTAGTGGAGGAAAAGTACACCATGTTTGAGAACAGATTATTCATTTCAAGCAGTTTCCAAGCAGAAATGAACAAGAAAAACCTATTGAGTCAGTTTTTATGAAGTTGATGTTCCTTTTATATCAACAGATGTCTATCATGGTAAATAATAAGGTACAGACCTGCCAAAAAAAAAACAGAAGATCACAGCATCACATCTCACCTCCTCCTCTTCCTCCTCCTCCTTACCTCCTCATCCAATTAGGTGGCACATGATAGCACCGGCATAACAAATGTCAAAGCAAAGGTCTAGCAGTTTTTCGTCACTGAAAAGGGTAAAAGTGGAGACAGTAAATGCTGATGGTTCGCTCTCCATGCCCTGATGTTCCCTCCATCCCCGGCAAACTGTCACATCCTCTCCGGCCTCACTCCGATCTGAAACTCAGCTGCGGATTGTTCTTTAACCTGATTCTTGTGTTTCTTTGAAGTACAACCGAATGAGAGAGGCAGCTCCATCAGGATGTCCTGGGTTAATAATCTCACAATATACGATACGATACGATAACACTTTAATGGTCAGATCAAGTCTGAAATGTGACTTGCTTCACAGCAGCTCCATGTGTAACATCAACAGACAAACATCAAGACGCAACACATGACAAACAAACAACAAACATTTAACATAACATCACATCAGTGAGAGAAAACATGCTCAAAGAGCCTTCAGCGTGCATTTGATGTGGATTCAGCTCTGTGTTTACTGTGAGGATTGACTGGAGCACAAAGGATGCTTCAGTCTGACTTTATTGAATCTCCCATTAGATGGTAGCAGTTAATATTCTCTGTTCAGAACATGCTTTGGGTCCCAGATGATGTTGTTGGACAGCCTTATTAGGTTGTTATGATAGGCTGAGTCATAACGTCTCTGACAGGGTTGACCAACAATCTTTGAGCAGACATCCGGGTACAAGCCTCCTTTGCCTCGTAGTAAAGTGTAACACTCTTCTTCAAGGCAAGGCAAGGCAAGGCAAGTTTATTTATATAGCACCTTTCAACACAAGGCAATTCAAAGTGCTTTACAAAAATGGAAGACATTATGAAAATGGCATTTAAAATCAGTCATTAAAAAGAAAAGATAATAAAATAAACATTAAAAGAAAAAATACATGGATAAAAGTTAAAAGTTACAGTGCAGTTTAAGATGTGAATAGTTCAATTAAAAGCAGCGGCAAAAAGAAAAGTCTTCAGCCTGGATTTAAAAGTAGTCAGAGTTGCAGCGGACCTGCAGGTTTCTGGGAGTTTGTTCCAGATATTTGGAGCATAATAACTGAACGCTGCTTCTCCATGTTTAGTTCTGACTCTGGGGACAGAAAGCTGACCAGTCCCTGAAGACCTGAGAGTTCTGGATGGTTCATAATTTAGCAGTAGGTCAGACATGTATTTTGGGCCTAAACCATTCAAAGCTTTATAAACCAGCAACAGTATTTTGAAATCTATTCTTTGACACACAGGAAGCCAGTGTAAAGACTTCAGAACAGGAGTGATGTGATCCACTTTCTTAGTGTTAGTGAGGACTCGAGCAGCAGCGTTCTGAATCAGCTGCAGCTTTCTAATAGATTTTTTAGTGAGACCTGTAAAGACACCATTACAGTAGTCCAGTCTACTGAAGATAAAAGCATGGACAAGTTTTTCCAAATCCTGCTGTGACATTAGTCTTTTAATCCTAGATATGTTCTTTAGGTGATAGTAGGCTGATTTAGTAACTGTTTTAATGTGACTGTTCAAACTCAGATCAGAGTCCATGACTACACCTAGATTTC